TTGACGCCAGAATGCGTTTTCAAAATCGACCATGACCGAGTTTATAAAAACAAATCATGTAAACACGTTAAGCAATCAAAATGTGGTTTTAAAATCTCGAAATTATTGCTGTGCATAACATTCTTTGAAATGTATCTGTAATCGATACACACTCTCTATTGATTAGGATCGATCAATGCCTGTTATAAAATTCCGCATGCAAAGAAGAAATTATTCTCCGGTAAGTTTCCGGTAACTTTCGACAAAATCTGTGGTTGACCGACATTAGTTTAAATGAAGTATATTTTCAGTCTGAATTTCACAGGTGACGAGTTTACATTTTATATGAGAACTGTTGTCCTCATCTTTGTTGTGGTTATCAAAATGTATCAGCAGTTGTGCTCTCTAGCCTTCCAAGGGTTTATATCGATCCGAATAACTACATGCAATTCCGAACTGAATCCTTTATTTAATCTATGGAATTAAACTACGCATACCATTACCATTGCCCATGTCTGTCTCGTCTTATTTTCATTACTACTCAGTTATTTCACGCTCTGTTTTCACTGGCTTCAAGCACGCACTTGCCCGGTCTACGGATTGAACTCACAACTACTATAACACCAAGTTCACCATCCAACGCTCTAATGAACTAGGTACAATAAAGTGTTTGTTTCGTACTTTGGTAACATAATAATTGTGAGTTCGTTAACAATCAGGGTTACAATATTACCTACCTACCTACCTACCTACCTACCTATCTATCTATTTTATTGTCTTCGGATCTATATATCTGTCTATCTGTCTATCTGTCTATCTATCTATCTATCTATCTATCTATCTATTTTATTGTGTTCAGATATACGTATTTTATTGTCTTCGGATCTATCTATCTATCTATCTATCTATCGATCTATCTATCTCAGTCTCTTCACTATCTATCTATTTTATTGTGTTCAGATATACCTATTTTATTGTCTTCGGATCTATCTATTTATCTATCTATCTTATTGTGTTCAGGTATATCTATTTTATTGTCTTCGGATCTATCTATCTATCTATCTATCTATCTATCTATCATCTATCTATCTATCTATCTATCTATCTCAGTCTCTTCACTATCTATCTATCTATCTATTTTATTGTGTTCAGATATACCTATTTTATTTTTCTTCGGATCTATCTATCTATCTTATTGTGTTCAGATATACCTATTTTATTGTCTTCGGACCTATCTATCTATCTATCTATCTCAGACTCTTCACTATCTATCTATCTATCTATCTATCTATCTATCTATCTATTTTATTGTGTTCAGATATACCTATTTTATTTTCTTCGGATCTATCTATCTATCTTATTGTGTTCAGGTATACCTATTTTATTGTCTTCGGATCTATCTATCTATCTATCTATCTATCTATCTATCTATCTATCTCTCGTCTCTCTTCTATCTCCTCTATCTATCTATCTTATTGTGTTCAGGAGTATACCTATTTTGTGTCTTCGGATCTATCTATCTATCTATCCTATCTATCTATCTATCTATCTATCTGTCTATCTATCTCAATCTCTCTTCACTATCTATCTATCTATCTATTTATTTGTGTTCCAGATACCTATTTTATTTTTTCTTCAGTCTATCCTATCCATCTTATTGTGTTCAGATATACCTATTTTATTGTCTTCGGATCTGTCTATCTATACTGTCTATCCTATCCATCTATCTATATCTCAGTCTATCACCATCTATCTATCTATCTATCTTATTGTGTTCAGATATACCTATTTTATTGTTTTTCTCTATCTATCTTTCTCAGTCTCTTCTATCTATCTATCTACCTATCTTTATTGTGTTCAGATATACCTATTTTATTGTCTTGATTCATCTGTCTATCTATTCTATCCTATATCTTTCTCTTCGCTATTCACTATCTATTTTATTATCTATACCTATTTATTATGTTCAGAGCCATATATCTATCTTATTGTCTTCAGGTATGCCTGTTTTATTTATCTATCTATCTATCTATCTATCTATCTCAATCTCTTCCTTCCATCTATTTTATCTGTTCAGATATACCTATTTTATTGTCTTTCCAACCATCCATACCCCCAGATCCTCTTGTCTTCTCTCCATCATCTATCTATCTATCTATCCTATTGTCCAGTCCATCCATCCATCCCGCCTATCCATTTATTGTCTTCAGATATACCTATTTTATCTGATTCATCTATCTATCTATCTATCTATCTATCTATCACCAGTTTCTTCACTATCTATCTATTTTATTGTGTGTTCAGATACCCATACCTATTTTGTTATATTTCGGATCTATCATCTCTATCTCAGTCTCTTCTATCTATCTATCTATCTAACCTATCCTATCTATCTCAGTCTCTTCACTATCTATCTATCTATTTGTGTTCAGATATACCTATTTTATTGTCTTCTGATTCATCTATCTATCTATCTATCTATCTATCTATCTATCTATCTATCTATCTCAGTCTGCACTAAGTTATCCGGATCGCTATCCACCTGATGTAGGCCGGAAGGCACAACGGCCGAAGCGTTGTGATAATCCCCACAAAGCCGAGGACAATAGTCCGAATATAAAGATTGCATATAAAGAATTCTTTTTTTTCCGAAAAACCGAGAATCACAAACTAGAGAATCTCTTTGCCATGCTCAAGCCATACAAAATATGACAAAAGTTTATTTTTACATAGTTATTAGCTAAACCATTATGAGCACTCCAGATATCAAAATATTCCCATTAGCATATCCCTTTACATCTTTGGAAAGAGACTGTCTGAGAAGATGGATCTCCAGTCTTTGAGCAATTGTTAAATTTTTGGCCTCCAGCCCGAAAATATTAGCAAATTTAATAAAGAACAAGAAAAATCAGTGAAGTGAAGGTTTTCAGCTTCGGTTTTGAATGTTTTGGAAATTTTATTTCGAACCGTTTCTGCGTAGAAATTAATTCAGTCACGTCATAAGGTTTTGAGATTATTACAAGCGGTGTTATTTATTGTATATTAGTTTGTTTGTTTTTTTATTGCGATGTAGTCATCTTTCATTATTTGTAATGGAAGATATCTACATTATAACCTTTTAGAAGGAATTATTTGGCTTACAGATAAATCGATGCCTATGCCATGTTGACGGAATAAAATGTCGATATTAAAAAAAAGAAAAGATATATAGTACCAGTCTACTACGTAAGAAATATCTTCTTGTCTTAAAAGGTAATATTCGAACCCTGATTGTTAACGAACTTTGAATACAACTGTTAACGCTGCATGAGTTTCCGTCTTGATAGCTAGCTAGCTATCGAGACGGCAATATAGACAGATAGAAAGATAGATGATATGAATAGATAGATAGATAGATCGATAGATCGTAAGAGATAGATAGATGATAGATAGATAGATAGATGATAGATATAGATAGATAGATAGATAGATATAGATCCGAAGACAATAAATAGGATACCTGACTGAGATGAATAAGATAGATAGATAATGAAGAGACTGAGATAGATAGATATAGATAGATAGATCTGAAGACAATAAAATAGGTAGGCCTGAAACACAATAAGATGAATAGATAGATAGATTGATAGATAGATAGATAGATAGATCCAAGAAGAAAATAGGTATACCTGAACAAAATAAAGATAGATAGATAGACAGAATAGATAGATGAATCCGAAGACAATAAAACAGGTATGCCTGAACACACAAAAAGATAGATAGATAGATAGATAGATAGATAGATGAATAGATAGATCCGAAGGACAATACAAAATAGGTATACCTGAACACAAAGATAGATAGATAGATAGATAGATAGATAGATCCAAAATGACAAAAATAGGTGGTAAACCTGAACACAATAAGATAGATAGATAGATCAAGACAATAAAATAAGTGTAGACAGATAGAGGAGATAGATAGATCCGAAGACAATAAAATAGGTATACCTGAACACAATAAGATAGATAGATAGATAGATAGATAGATAGATAGATCCGAAGACAATAAAATAGGTATACCTGAACACAATAAGATAGATAGATAGATAGATAGATAGATAGATCCGAAGACAATAAAATAGGTATACCTGAACACAATAAGATAGATAGATAGATAGATAGATAGATAGATAGATCCGAAGACAATAAAATAGGTATACCTGAACACAATAAGATAGATAGATAGATAGATAGATAGATAGATAGATACGAAGACAATAAAATAGGTATACCTGAACACAATAAGATAGATAGATAGATAGATAGATAGATAGATAGATAGATCCGAAGACAATAAAATAGGTATACCTGAACACAATAAGATAGATAGATAGATAGATAGATAGATAGACAATAAAATAGGTATACCTGAACACAATAAGATAGACAATAAATATAGATAGATACCTGAAGACAATAAGATAAATAGATAGACACAATAAGATAGATAGATAGATAGATAGATAGATGAATAGATAGATAGACAGATCCGAAGACAACAAAATAGGTATACCTGAACACAATAAAGATAGATAGATAGACAGATAGATCCGAAGAGAATAAAATAGATCCTTAAGACAATAAAAATAGATAGATGGAATAGATCCGAAGACACAAATGGGTATACCTGAAGATAGAAAATAGAGATGATAGACAGATCCGATAGATAGATAAAACAGGGCATAGATGAACAAAAGACAATAAGACAGAACACAGATAGATAGATAGATAGATAGATAGATAGATAGATCCGAAGACAATAAAATAGGTATACCTGAACACAATAAGATAGATAGATAGATAGATAGATAGATAGATAAGATAATAAAATAGATAATGAACACAATAAAATAGGACAGGATACAGAACACAATAAGATAGATAGATAGATAGATAGATAGATAGATAGATAGATAGATAGATAGATAGATCCGAAGACAATAAAATAGGTATACCTGAACACAATAAGATAGATAGATAGATAGATAGATAGATGATAGATCCGAAGACAATAAAATAGGTATACCTGAACACAATACAGATAAGATGATAGACAGAGATAGATAGATCCAAGATAATAAAATAGGTAGATCTGAAACAATAAAATAAACACAGATAGATAGATAGATAGATAGATAGATAGATAGATAGATAGATCCGAAGACAATAAAATAGGTATACCTGAACACAATAAGATAGATAGATAGATAGATAGATAGATAGATAGATAGATAGATCCGAAGACAATAAAATAGGTAATACCTAAGATTCAATATAAAATAGATAGATAGATAGATAGATGATAGATAGATAGATAGATAGATAGATAGATAGATCTGAAGACAATAAAATAGGTATATAAACAATAAGAAGATAGATAGAGATAGACAGATCCGAAGACAATAAAATAGGTATACCTGAACAATAAGATAGATAGATAGATAGATAGATAGATAGATAGATAGATAGAAGAAAGAAAATAGGAAAGAAAGGTATCCTGAAACAAAACAATAGATAGATAGATAGATAGATAGATAGATAGATCCGAAGACAATAAAATAGGAGAAGGAAAACAAGAAAGATAGATAGATAGATAGATAGAATGATAGAAAGAGATAGATAAAGATAGAAAAGGATCCAAAGAAACAAAATAAGAAAATAGAAGGTTAAATAATGATATGAGAAGGAAGATCAAGACAATAAAAAAGATAGAAAGAAAAAGATGATAGATAGATAGATAGATAGATGATAGAAAGATCCGAAGACAATAAAATGAGAATATACCTGAACACAAATAAGATAGATAGATAGATAGATAGATAGATAGATAGATGAAAGATCCAAAGACAATAAAATAGGTATACCTGAACACAATAAGATAGATAGATAGATAGATAGATAGATAGATAGATAGATAGATGGAAATAAAGACAATAAAAAGACAAATATACAGACGAATAAAGATAGACCAAAGATACAAAAAGATATGAAGAGATAGACAGATAGATAGATAGATCCGAAGAGAATAAAATAGGTATATGAACACAATGGATAGAAAGATAGATAGATAGATAGATGGGGAGACAGATATATAGATGAAAAAGACAATAAAATAGGTATACCTGAACACAATAAGATAGATAGATAGATAGATAGATAGATAGATAGATAGATAGATAGATCCGAAGACAATAAAATAGGTATAGGATAAGACACAAGAAGATAGATAGATAGATAGATAGATAGAAAGATAGATAGAAAGAAGACAATAAAATAGATACCTAAAACAAAAGAAGATAGATAGATAGATAGATAGATAGATCAAAGACAATAAAATAGGTATACCTGAAAGACAACAAGATAGGGATAGATAGATAGATAGATAGATAGATGAATGAAGACAACAAAATAGGTATAATGAAACAGAAAAGATAGATAGATAGATAGACAGAAAGACAGATAGATCCGAAGACAATAAAATAGGTAATGAAACACAATAAGATAGATAGATCCAAAGAAAAAGGATAAAGATGACATAAAATGACAATAAAAAAGTATAACTGAATATATATAACATATATAAGATAGATAGATAGATAGATAAAGATAGATCCGAAGACAAAAAAAATTAGGAATACCTGGAAAAAAACAAGATAGAGAGATAGATAGATAGATAGATAGATGATAGATAGATAATCCGAAGACAATAAAATAGGCAGGTATACAGATAACTTAGATAATGAAAAGAATAGATAGAATAGATAGATGAAAAGATAGATCCGAAGACAATAAAAAATAAGAATACCTGAAGACAATAAAAATTGATAGATAGATAGATAGATAGATAGATAGATAGATAGATCCAAGAAATAGAAAGAAATAAAGAAAGACAAAAGATAAGAAAGATAAAGAATTATAAGGAAGACAATAAAATTAGAGAAGGAAATCCTAGAAGACAGATAGATAGATAGATAGATAGATAGATAGATAAGATAAATAATAAAATAGGTAATAGAAAGGAATAATAAGAATGAATAGAAAAAGATCCGGAAGACAATAAAATAGGTATACCTGAACAAAAAGAAGATAGATAGATAGACAGATAGATAGATAGATCCGAAAAAAGAAAGAGGAAAGAAAAGAAAGAAATAAAATAGGAATTATAGACACAGATAAATTATAGAAGGAAATCCAGATAGATAAGAAAAAAATAAGAAAGAAAGAAAAGATAGAAAGATCCGAAGAAAAGAAAAAAATAATTATAAAAGAACACAATAAGATAGATAGATAGAAGATAGATAGATAGATAGATAAAGAAAGAAAAGAAATAAAATAGGTATACCTGAAACAAAAAAGATAGATGAGATAGATAGATAGATCCGAAAGACAATAAAATAGGTATAGGAAAAACACAAGAAAGATAGATAGATAGATAGATAGATGACAATAAAATCTGAAGAAAGAAAGAAAGGTATAACTG